CGATATTTTTTAGGTTGATAGCTTGAAAAAAAGAGATGGTAATAATAAATGTTTTACAGATGATTATTAAGATTGAAAATGTTAAATGTGAAGATAATCAAGTACAAACGATGATGGTATATTGTAATTGTATTTATTTTTAATAAAGATTAAGACGATGACACGACAATAACGTACTGCGCAGGTTTACATACGATAATGGACGAAGAGTATTTTGTTACCTTTTTACCATCGACAATGGACGTAGAGTATTTTTATTGTACTTGTAAGTAATAAGGAAACGACGATAATGTATGACTATAATAATAATACGACTTCTTAGACTTATTCTAAAATACTGAACTTTTGACTGCTACCTTCCCGTATTCAGAGATCCATAAAAGTAATGTCTCCTTGGTTATTACATTTATTACGGCCCCTTTGACAATGCAGCAGCGTGTATTCTTTAAAGATTTCTACGATTTTCCATTCTTTTTTCTATAAATTTCTACGGATATCAACCTTTCAACGTTTCACTCTTCATCTTCTTCTTCAGTAGTTTTTTGTTCTTAGGCGTGTTTTGCTCTCTACATGATTTCTAAGTATTATTCAATGTTTAGGTCTTTTTGGATCCTCGTATCAATAAATTTTAAGGAGATATTTGTCTCCTCTTTCCGTCTGCCTGTCCTTTTATCTGTATTTTTGTCTGTCTATCTTTCCGTTTGTCTGCCTAAGATCCTTTTGACCATTTTGTACCTGGTGACATGCCACCGAGACTTAGGTCCTTTTGTCCACGAAACGAAACGTAACGAAATGTATCGAAACGTGACGAAACGTGACGAAACGTGACGAAACGTGACGAAACGTGACAAAACGTGACGAAACGTAACGAAACGTAACGAAACGTAACGAAACGTAACGAAACGTAACGAAACGTAACGAAACGTAACCGAAACGTAACGAAACGAAACGTAACGAAACGTAACGAAACGTAACGAAACGTAACGAAACGTAACGAAACGTAACGAAACGTAACGAAATGTAACGAAACGTAACGAAACGTAACGAAACGTAACGAAACGAAACGAATACATCAACTGTTTGTTTCCCCATTCCTTTCCGACCAATAGCAACGAAGTTATACTTGACAGTTGACAAGTCCTTTTGACTCCGCCATCTTGTATATGGTTAGTTCACGTGAACGATGATCGCCATCATCGTTCAAGACATCTGATGGGATATTAACGAAGATATAAAGTGACAAGCGAGAACTGACCCTTGAACTGCGCATGTGCACATGCCATCTAGATGACATTGTCATCTACCATTTTCATCGTTCAAATCCGATCGATATTAACAAAGATATGAAAACGGCATTATGAACTGCGCATGTGCGAAATGACAACTAGATGTCATTCTCTACACGTAGCCGTTTGAATCGCTAAGGCCTTTCTGGCTTTACATAAAAATTCTCTTCTACGTTAATCATTCTCTACGTAATGCCGTTTTTCCCGCTTAAATCGGACCACGTGATATACGCTAAGGCCCTTCTGGCTTTACACATGAGTTTTCTGTTCAATGTTCATCATTCTTTACGTAATGTCGTTTTTCCTGTTTAAATCAGACCAACGATAGCTGAGATATTTGCTAAGGCCCTTGTGGCTTTTCGTTCTGCGCATGATTTTTCTATTCGACGGTAATCTATACTACGATCTCTACGTAATTCCGTTTTTCCCGTTTAAATCGGACCAACGATAGCTGAGATATTCGCTAAGGCCCTTGTGGCTTTTCGTTCTACGCAAAAATTCTCTTCAACGTTAATCTATACCACGATCTCTACTTAATGCCGTTTTTCCCGTTTGAATTGGACCAATAGCAGTGAAGATACGTACTAAGGCCCTTGTGGCATTGCGCATGATTTTTCTGTCAAAGGAGATTAATTTTTTCATTATTTTTCCCTTACTCTGTACGTTAAGACCGACGTATCACATGTTTTATATTTTATAAGCATGAGGGGGGTCGTGGGGGTGAAGGAGGGTAGGTGTAATTTTTTGCTTATTTTTCCCTTACTCTGTACGTTAAGACCTTTCCAACGAGGTATCACACACTATGATTGATCGATTTTCAATGAGGGGGTGGTTCGCGGGGATGAAAGGGAGCAGTTGACATTTTTTCATTATTTTTCCCTTACTCTGTACGTTAAGGCCTTTCCAACGAGGTATCGCATGTACCGACCATATTTTATAAGCATGAGGGGGTTGTGGGGGTGGAGGAGGGTAGGTTGAATTTTTTGCTTATTTTTCATTGTTTACGTCAACTATTACCGCCATCTTGGATTTTCGACGTTATCATGTTTACTGATAACCCAGACTTCGAACTTCGACGCGTGACCTTGATTTAGACAAAAATTGCTAGAATGAACCTTAGCGATTTTCCATGTTAATTTACATAAGGATTGTGCCAGAACCCGTGCTGCCCCTTTACTAGCGATTAATCGAAAATATTCGATTAGCCGAAAATCTAGTTGTCCTTGACACTCTTTGGTTTTACTTGTATTTTTGATTTTCACTTAAAATGACTGGAATTTCAAAGATTTTACGATTTTCGTTTATAAATTGCTTTTCAAAAACAAATCAAAATGAATAAAAAAATTAAAAAAATAATAATCATCGATTAATCGAAAATAATTGATTATTCAAAAATAATTGATTAATCGTAAATAATCTATTAATGAAAAATAATCGAATAATCTAAATAATCGATTAATGAAAAATAATTGATTAATAGATAATGATCGAATAATTGAAAATAATTAATCGGAAACAATCGAATAATCGAAAATAATCAATTAATTGAAAGCAATCGATTGAAAAAATAATGACAAATTGATAATTTTGTCCACCCCTAGTGAAGACACGTTGGGTAGAGGGGATCCAGAACCTCCGACTAAAGATAATCCAGACCAAAATAACAAGGAACTTAACCACAGGAAAAAATACAAGTACAATAAGTAGAAGTGGACAAAATAATTGATTAATCAATTATTAATCGATTAGTCGATTTTTTAAACTTTCGTTGATCGAAACTAATTGATTTATCGTAAATAATCGAATAATGGAAAATATTCGATTAATTGAAAATAATTAATCGAAAATATTCGAATAATTGAAAATAATTAATCGAAAATAATCGATTAATTGAAAATAATTAATCGAATAATCGAAAACAATATAATAATCGTAAAGAATCGATTAATGGAAAATAATCGAATAATCTATTAATCGAAAATAATCGATTAATTGAAAATAATCGATTAATCGAAAATAATCGATTAATCGAAAACAATCGATTAATCAAAAACAATCGATTAATCGAAAACAATCTATTAATCGAAAACAATATATTAATCGAAAACAATCTATTAATCGAAAATAATCTATTATTCAAATGCAATCGAATAATCGTAAATAATTGCTTAAGAAAAATTGAAAATAATAGATTAATGGAATATAACAAATTAATTGAAAATAGTTGATTAGTCGAAAATAATCGATTCATCCAAAATAATCGATAATATGAAATAAGATGTTCATCCAAAATAATCGATAATATGAAATAAGATGTTCATCGAAAATAATCGATTAATTAAAAAAACTCAATAAAAAATAATCGATTAATTGTAAATAATCGATTAATGGAAAATAGTCGAATAATCCATTATTAATAAATAATCGATTAATCGAAAATAATCGATTAATTGAAAATAATTAATCTAAAATAATCGAATAATGGAGAATAATTGATCGAAACAGTCAATCGAAAATAATCGATTCATAGGAAACATTCGAATAATCGAAAACAATCTATTAATCAAAAATAATCGATTAATGGAAAATATTCGAATAATCGATTTATGATATATAATCGATTAATTGAAAAATCAATTAATTAAAAAACAATCGATTAATCTTAAACAATCTACTAATCAAATACAATCGATTAATTGTAAATAATCTGCTTATGGAAAATAATCGATTAATGGAATATAATGAATTAATTGAAAATAATTGATTGGTCGAAAATAATTGATTCATCCAAAATAATAGATTCATCGAAAATAATCGATTAATCATCAATAGTTAATAATGGAAATAATCGATTAACTGAAATTAATTGATTAATCGAAAATAATCTATTCATCGAAAATATAACTAACCGGTTTATCGAAAATAACCAATTAATCGAAAGCACTCGATTATCGATTAAAAAAAAATCTACCAATCGATTAATTTTCCCACCCCTAGAGAAGACACGCTGGGCGGAGGGGGTCTAGTTAATAAAAACAAATATCATCTTATACAGTTCCAAAAAACAAAATCAAACCCACAAATCAATTTTTTTTAAATATAACAACCGGTTTCGGCCTTAGGCCATCATCAGGTCTATTGAACTATATTTTTTAGACTTTTAGAAGATAATCAAGATCAAATCAACATGGAAACTGAACTATAAAAAACATACATAAATAAATTGAACTACGATAAGTGTAATAAAGATAAACGAGACAGAGATAATATGGAAATTGAACCACAGGAAAAAATACATAAAAAATTTGAAGTACGATAAGTAGAAGTGTGCAAAATAATCGATTAATCAATTATTAATCGATCAATCGTTTTTTTATTAAGCGAAGTAATCGAGCATTTTCGATTAATCGTTTATTGTCTATTAGTCGAACAATTTCGATTAACCAATTAAACGAAAATAGTTGATCAAGTAAAAATAATCGAATTATCGAAAATAATCGAATATTTTATTGGTCAATTTTTGTTTTTTGTTTGTTTGGTTTGTTTTGTTTTTTTTGCCAATTATTGACTAGAAATACTATACTATATTGGGTTCAAACGAATACAGTAAAATATTAAAGACACAAAATTTGCAATCACGTGTACTGAACATTATTTTAGTGGTTAAAAATTTATCATTTTTAACATGTTTTATTTTTCATTTACGAAAATTAGATAATAGAGTACGAAAACCGAATGAGAGCGTATTCGACACCGGACAAGATATTTAGATACTTTTCCACTGTTAAAATAATGCATACCGATGTAACCGAAGTGTACATGACTCCCGACGATTTTTTAAGAGCCATTACACCCGGAATGAAACAGCCCGATGGTAAATTTAAATAGTGCAAAGCTTTCTTGTATCTGCTTGGTGTTGGATTTAACTAATAATATGCCAGGTGTCAGTTTAGTATGAGGCTGATGCAAAAATAGCGATATTAATAATTTTATACTAACAAATTTACAATAAACAACGGTTTAAGTACTAGATTAAGTATAATAGTCTAAGGGCTAACTTATTTTGAGTAAAGTGTTGAACACATATTTATAGATTTATAATTTAATACCGGTAGAATAAGAGAATAATGATCTGGTGGGGATACCGCGGCTGCGACATCTATATTTAAAAGTTAAAATTAACGAATTTTTGCAAAGCTAAAACTTTTAGGGAATATTCTTTGAATTGTTTTATTAACATAATTACAACTGTCAGACGATTCTGGCGGTTACTAGTACCTGCCAGACGAGTATAAATGGTGGGATACTTATAAGTTTTAAATTTCCTCTCCTCTTATCTTCGTTGTTAATTGAGATATCGAAATAATTTTTTTTTTGTTAAAAATTTGGAGTAAGAACTATTATAACTTATTCAATTACTCTGTGGCGTCATGGCTTACTTCCGGTTTTTCCGGAAATAACAGAAGATTGTTATTTATTTTTTATTTATAAAAGAAAATTCGAATTTATTTTATATTTTTAGATAAGAATATTTTATTGAAAATGTTCTGTCAGCTGTCAAAATAGACAATGTGCTAGTCAGAAAACCACCTCTCGAGTAAAAAAAGACTTCGGGAAAACCAGATTTTTATTAAAAAAATTAGAAAGATGTCCATTATGTAAAAAGAAGTGAAACTAATGAAAATTGCCCATTATAAAAAACGGAAGGGCATAAAAAATTAAAACTAGAACAATTAAAAAGAGAAGAAAATTTCATACAACATGGAATATGCCCCAAACATTGATATTGAATGGTATGTATTTTAAATTTAAGGGAGTGGCATAAAAAACAAGTGAAAATTTGAAAAATATCCATTGTAAAAAAACGGATGGAGATAAAATCACCTCTCAACTAAAAAGAGACTTAAGAAAAACTTAAATCTCAAGGAAAAAAGACTCTAGAGAAAGCCAACTTTCGAGGAAAAAGACTAGAGAAAATCACCTCTCGAGGAAAAAAGACTAGAGGAAATTATCTCTCGAAGAAAAAAAACTAGAGAAAATCAACTCACAAGGAAAAAAAATAATCGAGAAAAATCACCTCTTGAGGACAAAAGACTCGGGAGAAAATCACCTCTCAAGGAAAAAAGACTCGAGAGAAAATCACCTTTCGAGAAAAAACAGTAGAGAAAACAAGCTCTCGAGAAAGAAACACTAGAGAAAATTACCTCTCGAGAAAAAAAGAAATTAGAAAAATGACCTCTCGAGGACAAAAGACTCGAAAGAAAAACAGCCTCTTGAGAAAAAAAAACACTAAAAAAAATCACTTCTCGAAGAAAAAGGCCTAGAGAGAAAAATACTCGAGAGAAAACCATTTCTCGAGGAAAAAAGAATCGAGAAAAATCAGAAAACCAACTCGAGGAAAAATTGGAAAAATGCCCAATAATATAGATTAAAAATTGAAAAACTAAAGAAAAAAGGCTAGAGAAAAATAACCTCTCGAGAAAGAAAAACTCGAGAGAAAATCACGATCGAGAAAAAACACTAGAGAAAATCACCTCTCGAGGAAAAAAGACTAAAGAGAAAATCGTATATCGAGGAAAAAAGACTAGAGAAAACCAACTCTCGAGAAAAACAGTTTTGAGAGAAAATCACCTTTTTTTGGAAAAACGACTCGAGAGAAAATAGCCTCTCAAGAATGAAACACTAGAGAAAATCATCTCTCACCAACGTTCGAGGAAACAAGAATAGAGAAAAATCGTCTCTTGAGGACAGAAAACTTAACAGAACATCACCTCTCGAAGAGAAAATGGAAAAATGCCCAAAAATTTAGATTAAAAATTGAAAAACTAGAGGGAAATCTATTTCGAGTAAAAAACACTAGAAAAAATCACCTCTCGAGGAAAAAAGACTAGAGAAAACCAACTCGAGGAAAAATACTATAGAAAAATCACCCCTCGAGGAAAAAAGACTCGAGAGAAAACAATTGGAAAATGCCCAATAGTATAGATTAAAAATTGAAAACTAGAGAGAAATAGCTCGAGAAATATAACCTCTCGAGAAAAATAACTTCTTGAAAAAAAGAACACTAGAGAAAATCACTTCTCGAGGAAAAAACACTCGAGAGAAAAATACTAGGGAGAAAATCATCTCTCGGGGAAAAAAGACTAGAGAGAAAATCACCTATCGAGGAGAGAAGACTAAAGAAAACCAGCTCTCGAACAAAAAATATTAGAGAAAACCAACTCTCGAGGAAAAAAGAATCGAGAAAAATTACCTCTCGAGAGAAAATCGTCTCTCGGGGAAAAAGACTAGAGAAAACAACCTCTCGAGGAAAAGACACTAGAGAAAATCATCTCTCGAGGAAAAAGACTCGAGAGAAAATCATATCTTGAGGAAAAAGCCTTGAAGAAGAAAAATTGGAAAAATGTTCATAGTATAGATTAAAAATTGAAAACTAGAGGGAAAACTACCTATCGGGGAAAAAAGACTCGAGAAAAGTCACCTCTAGAGGAAAAATTACTCGAGAGAAAACAACTTCTCAAGAAAAAGCACTAGAAAAAATCTGATGTGTCCAACACATGACTTTCCTATCTAGTTATTATAGGCGTTTTCAGGTTATTTTGTTCAACCTATTGCAGCACCTCTATAAATGTTTAAAGGATAAACTAAATATATACATTTTCCACATACATCTACCTCGAAACATTTTTCTATAGATATTCATTGAAAACGAAAATAGTGAAAAATTTAAATTTAACAAAATTTTTCCATTACTGTCCATTTTATAAAAATCATATATAAACAAAAATGATAGAGATCGATATCGCAAACAACTTTTAGTTCAACAATTTTCATAAAAATCAGAATTAGGCACATTTTGTCAAATATCTCGAATACGGACCATTTCAGGAAATTTTGACATAAAGCAAAAATTATTATAGATAATAATATTAAAAGTAACTTTTATTTGAACAATTTTCTTCTCCAAACTTAAATAACAGATAATTCCATAAAATATAAAAATGACCACTTAAAAAGTACCCCCCCCCCCCCAGATGTGCCGACTCTGCCCAAAATCTAATCAGTTCATTGGACGCAGGAATAAAGCTTAAGTTTAAAATGTTGTGTTTTCTGTGTATCGGTTCATGAGTTATGGTGGATACAGACACACACACACACACAGACATCATCGCGAAAATAGTCAAAACAGATTCAGGGGACCTCAAAACGTAAAAATCCGTCGAAAACTAGAGGTCGAAAAAAATCATGATTCCTATACTTTCCTTATATCTGTATACAGATAGGAAAATAAAAATTCCAACAATATAGATTACAAATTGAAAACCTAGAGAAAAAACTACCTTTCGTGGAAAAGTCTCGAGAAAAAGACTACAGTCACCTTTCGGGGGAAACAGACTCGATAGAAAACAACCTCTCGAGAAAAAAAAACTAGAAAAAATCACCTCTCGAAAAAAAAAGGACTAGAGAGAAAAATACTCGAGAGAAAAATACTTGAGAGAAAACCACCTCCCGAGAAAAAATGAAAAACGCCCAAATATATAGATTAAAAATTGAAAAACTAGAGTGAAATGTATCTCGAGAAAAACCTCTTGAGTAAAAAACTAGAAAAAATCTCCTCTCGAAGAAAAAAGACTAGATAAAACCAACTCTCAAAGAAAAAATATTCGAGAAAAATCACCCCTCGAATACGAAAGATAAAAGACTCGAAAAAAATAGAAAAATGCCAAAAAAATGTAGACTAAAAATTAACACTAGAGAGGAAACCACCTTTCGATGAAAAAATACTAGTCACCTCTCGGAGAAAAAATCTCGAGATAAAATCACGTCTTGAAGAAAACCGACTCGAGAAAAAACGAGTTTTCGAGAATAAAGCTCTAGAGAAAGTCATCTCTCGAGAAAAAAAGGACTAGAGAGAAAATTCCTCTCGAGGAACAAAGACCAGAGAAAACTAACTCTCATTGAAAAAAAGAATCAAGAAAAATCACCTCTCGAGGACAAAAGACTCGGGAGAAAATCACCTCTCAAAGAAAAAGGACTCGAGAGAAAAATCACCTTTCGAGAAAATAACAGTGGAGAAAACCTCTCGAGAAAACACACTAGAAAAAATCACCTCTCGAGGAAAAAAGGCTAGAGAAAAAATGATCTCTTGAGGAAAAATACTCTAGAGCCTACTAACTCTCGAGGAAAAAGTCTCGAAAAATAACACTAGAGAAAACCAACTCTCGAGGAAAAAAGAAACTAGAAAAATGACTTCTCGAGAACAAAAGACTCGAGAGAAAATCACCTCTTAAGGAAAAAAGATTCGAAGGAGAATCAACTCGCGAGGATAAAAGAATTGAGAAAAATCACCTGTTGAAGACAAATGACTTTAGAGAAATCACCACTCAAGGAAAAAAATTGTAAAAATGCCTAATATAGATTAAAAATTGAAAATCTAGAGAAAAACTACCCATCGAGGAAAAAATACTTAAGAGAAACCCATTTTTCGAGGAAAAAAGACTAGAGTCATTTCTAGAGGAAAATAAACTAGAGAAAAAACAACCTCTCGAGAAAAAATCACTAGAGAAAATCAACTTTCGAGGAATAAAGACTGTAGTGAAAACCAACTCTCGAGGAAAAAACCATTGAGAAAAATCAGTTCCCGTGGACAAAAGACTCAAGAGAATATCAGCTCTCGAGGAAAAAAGACTCGAGAGAAAACAATATCTCGAGGAAAAAAGACTCGAGAGAAAAATAACCTCCAGAGAAAGAAAAACTCAAGAGAAAATCACCTCCCGAGAAAAACACTACAGAAAATCACCTCTCGAGGAAAAAATACTAAAGAGAAAATCGTATATCGAGGAAAAAAGACTAGAGAAAACCAACTCTTGAGGA